TAACAGATTGTAAATAAAAATTATAAAAATAAAAAAAAAAAAAAAAAAGTTAGTAATAATACAGTTATATATTATATTATATTATATATTTTGTAAATTATTGATATTAATCGTATTACCAATTACCATAGATTACATAATGAGATAATATACTAGTAAAACTAATTATTTAATCTATGTTATAATATCTATGTCTGATTATGGATTAAAGAATGAATATATTATTTAAAAAAATTAGGGTGGGCTTAAATTAAACTAGGGCGGGGTACCCCGACTTTATCCTATCGTCCCCAAACCAATATCATATTTTTGCAAATAATTCGCAACAATTTGCAACACAGTAAAAAAAATTTGCAAACATTTTTTTACTATTTTTTATTTAGAAACCATACGAATCTGCAAAGAACGTCCGAGTAATTTTTTTAAGATATAAAAATTGTAAATTCAATATTTTTTGAATATTGATTTTTAATTAATATTTTTTAAAATTATTTTAGGTTTTTTTATTATAGATTTTATATTCTACTAAGCTTTATTATTAACGCTATTACCTTAACGTGAACTTGGCACCCCGAAACATGTTTCATTGTGGGGGGGGGGGTTATAAAACTGTGTTGAAAATTGTTGGAAATTATTTGCAGAAATATGGTATTAGTTTGGTGACGATACGATAAAGTCGGGGTGCCAACTTCAAGCACGTCGGGTACGGATTCTCGGGTGCAAAATGGTTATCTTGATGCTATATTATGTAAGAAACGCAGCGCCATCTATTGTCACCAAATTTTTGCTTCCAAATTCTACATGGTCGTTGGCTATCTATGTACGTTTCATGAAGACTAGAATACGGAGACCAAACTCCGCTTCTGATAACGACCCGAAATGAGTCGCAAGATCAAACGGCCACAAGCTGCTCTGAGTATGCTAGGGTTGCTACTTTAATCAGCGTAGTATAGGGATTATTCATGTTTTTTGCGTTTTTTTGAAAACATATGCATTATTTTGAACCATGACACTCTATAGATTGTATAGCTTGTACGATTAAGCATTTATACGTGTGTATAAGTGTATATTCATAAACATGTTATTCAAGAAACAAATTTGAGTGTAACCTTACATATTATATCGGTATAAGACAATCGATGAAGAAAATACGTATATTATGTATGGTGTATCGAATAGTATCGAGCTCAGACTTGCTGTGAACAGAGATATATAGGTATAAAATAACTCGATATATAATAGTGTTAACGGATTGTATAATTGAATTAATTACACGAAAATAGAAATAATATTTATGAATATACACATGTATAAACGCTTAATCGTACAAGCTATAAAATCTAAAGATGGTCATGGTTCAAAATAATGCATATATTTCCCAAAAAACTCAAAAAACATGAATAATCATTATACCACGTTGGTTAAAGTAGTAACCCTATCGTGGCCGTTTGACCTTGAGACTCATTTCGGTACTTATTTTCATGTGGGCGGCCGTACGAGTTTGGTCTCCTTATTCTAGTCTTCATGGTATGTTTAATCTATGCTCATAGCTCGGTGTCATCGTTTCACGTTTGAGCTCATATTCTTTGATTCGTATGAACTTTGTATGTTGGAAATTGGAATCACAGGTAAGTCTTTCGTATTTTAGTCTATAAGCTGCAAACATCCCTTTTGCTTAGCCTTTTTATATTCATTTGAATTTTGAATAACAAACAATAATCTGTTATTTTCTTCTTTTACATGAATTGGTCATGTTGCTGATTTTATATTTCATAATAATATTATAACCCGACCTCAACCGGTAAACGTTTTTAGAAATTGTAATTGTAATTTACTCGGTAGATGGCGCCTCAGCTGTATAACTTTTTTCCTTTGTCGGTTTTAAATGCGGACCGCCGCAGCTCCGCACGAATAAAAATATTTTGTGAATCCGTAGCTAATATTTCCGCACGGTCGACAAAATGGACGCATTATAGAAATATTTTTAACATTTTTTTCTATAAGTCCGCACGCTCTACAACTGTTTGAAATATCTTAAAACACTAGATCTTCACATTTGTCATTTATCAATAAATCTATTAACAATATCGCTATATCGGTGTAAACCCATATTGGAATTAAACTATTATATCTGCAAAGCCATGTCTAATCATTATTGTGAACCGATTAATTGTCTTTATCTGCGTGTGTTTTCTATATTGTCTATGTTGCACAATGTCCTGTACATATCGTGCTTTGTGACTCAACGAATTGACAGTGATCACTGATCAATAATTATAAGTTGTACAAAAAATTTAAATACTAAATATCGTTTCATTAATTAATAATAAATACGAACAGTGACATCAGTGTTATGAAGGTATAGTCAAAGAAAAAACGTATTACTAGTGAAAAATAAGTTTAAGTACCTACTCTAATTATACTCAGTTGAAATCTGGGGAAATTGGATGAAAATGAATTAAGTCGTGTATACCGGAATTATAATATACAATTGGCATTGACCATGTTTTTTCACGAGAATCAGGTAGGTACGCGCTTTCGCATGAAAACATTGAGACCAACATTTTTTTCGACAAACTATTAGCAATTTGAGAAATTCAGAATGAATTCTGTTAATAAAAATGGATGCAAGATAATATTAGACATGAACGAATAAATAAAAATTAAATTATATAGCTAATGAAAATAAAATTGACAGATATGATATGTAAAATGTTTAGCCTCGTTTAACATTACCTATATACATTTATCATTATAATATAAAGGTTGATCTTATACGACAAGTATTTTGTTCGCTATTAAAATTTTTATATATTATTTAATATTTTTTGATATGACTTTACTTTTAAACAGTCTTACTTGAGAATTTATTTCTAAATAATTGTGTATATTATTTATAATTATTTGATCTACGCTTATTATATGACATATAATTTTAAAAATATCTTTTGCAGAATTACGGATCGAAAAAAAAAAAATTGTGTTTCGGACTTCCGGTGCTATTTTATGAAATGGCGGTGATTCGTGTGCAGCTACGGTGTTTCCTTAAATGCAACTTATTAATAAGTGTATACATTTTTTGTTGTTGTGCAACTCTATTCCACAATGAATTTTTGTTGATATTAATCATTATTATATACATCTATTGTTTCCTTACTTTATTGTATGTGTTGTAAAGATTGTATGTGTAGCTGAAGTTATTGGTACCTACGAACAATAAATCGTATTGGTAAATTTAAGTCTTTTTCTTCATTAAGTATGCTTTTGAGATTTATGTTGGAGTCTTTATAAGATTTATTACCAACTTGATAAAACTTGAGGCACCACAACATAGAACCGTTGTTCAAAAGTGATTAATTTTATACCTAAATTCTATATTATAATTATTTTATTATTTTATGACACAGTTATTATTTATTGTTTAATTACTATGCTATAGTTAAAATCACCTGATATCGATTTAAAAAAACCTTACATTTTTCAATTGGTGCTGAATGCTTTAGTAAACTTTAGCAACATTTTCATCATATAAAATAATTTAATAACTTAGATTCTAAGAGGCCAAAGAAATTATTTTAATTTATTTATTATTGTGTGTTTGCAGATTTTCTCAAAATCTATATTAACAATTTTGGTAACTAATGGATGGACAAAGAGAGAATATTGTATACACGTATATATTTAAAAACTTAATAACGAACATTTATAAACATTTTAATGTTTTTATTAAAATAATTTTTTTGTTAAACAAGGTTACCAAAAAGATAGACTATTTTCGTTCAAAATCGGTTTTCATTGTATATACAATGATTCATTGTTCATTTCAAATGTTAGACTTCCATTACTGATGTGACCTATTTAATAACAATAGGTATACCTACTAGATCCAGTAGAGCAGTTTTATACTTATTGACAGCCTTTTTAATATTATGTGCGAAGGGTCTAATTATAAATTATTTCAGATAAATTTAAATATTAGGTTGATTAACACGTTACCTATTATTGGAATAAATATATTAGAAGATTTTGAATGTCAACAACAATTAGTTATACATTAAGGGGATTCGATACCGTGATTTTCTGTTTTTGTCTAACACACGAGCGACATAGTATTTTAGACGTGTTTTTTGCCAAACATTCCAATTGATCTATTGAAGCAATAAGATTTCTGAAAATATAGATTTGAATTTGTCGTCAAGTCTACTTGAAATCGACTTTCCCACATTTTTGATTTTTTGATTTTAACTTCTCCAAAAATTGAAATACCAGAATTTTTAAATACAGTTTTTGAATATGATATTTTTAAGAATTTGGGGGATAATATCAAAAATATGGGAAAGTCGATTTCTAGTAGACTTAACGACAGATTCAAATCTGTTTTCAGAATTCTTATCGCTTCATTGGATCAATTTTTATGTTTGGCAAAAACTACGTCTAAAATACTATGTCGAGCGTGTGTTAGACAAAAACAGAAAATCACGGTATCGAATCCCCTTAATAAAATATAATATTGTTGATTTATAAACTCTTTTATTTTTTCAATCCTAACTTTCCAGAATGCCACTTTTAGGAAATTGTCAAAGCCTAGGCCCTAGACTCTAGAGCCTAGAGGTACAGCTAGTATTATAATATAAACTTAACATGTTAGACAAAAAAAACGTTACCTTATCAATTACTATTATTACGATTCTTCTTATATATATTATTATAATATGATAAAGAAGGTATGTATACGGAATTTGTAGTTATTATTAATGAAGAAAAATATTACAAATTTAATTTTTATTTAATTTAAAATAAATATTTAATTTTTAATATTATACAATTATAATGCATCTTCTTATTATTATTTTTGCTTAATATTAAAAAATTAAGATGGTTCTAAATATAACAAGTATTTACAAACTAAATAAATATTCACATTATATAATTACTATACAATTAATAGGTAACATTATTTACAGTGTAGGAAAGTTTCGTTCGTATAATTAGTCAGGTTTCTAAATATTCATCGATTTTCCATCTTCTATGGATTTTGAATGAATTATACTTAATCTTTCGTCCATAGGTAATCCCCTCTTTGATTTTTCCTTTTCTTTTAGATAATATTGTTCCAAGTCGTCCCATGGTTGCAACTCGCCGGATCCAAATAGCCCATACACCACAGATGATCCTGTCATGACTATCATCATAATCCAAAATACAAGACGCCACTCTAAGACGGTTCTCTGAAAAATTAAAAATGTAATAAATTATTATTCAGTTATTTGCATGGAATATTTAGGTTTAATACTGAATGCCCGTGCCTCACTGACGGCCGACAGAAACATAGACTGACTTTAACATTACATTAATAACTAGCTGTCCCGCCCGGCGTAGTCCTTGAAAAAGATTAATATTTTTAAACTTCTATATAGAAACGCGCCTCATATTATGTAAGTACTTTCGAACGATGTCAAGGAGCTTACAAACAACTACAAATAACTATAATATTATTAGACTGACGTACGATGCACGTCATATACATGCACATTGTACTTATTCAATCAGCCCGATCTTCCTTTGGGTGATAAAATGTAAATAATTAAAAACACAGTTGGCTGCACTGCTGAGTCATGCACGTGCACTTTATGTTGAAAAGAGACAAAGTTATCAGTAAAATTGTTGCAGGAAAGAGAGGTCCAACCATTACTATTTTGTGCAGCAGACTCTTATAGTATAGAGATAAAAAGAAAATCATCACGTTTGATTGAATCACGGATTGAACATAGCACTTTGTATATTTTTAAACGTGACACATAAACTCTTTAAAATGTTCTCATATCACTAAAAATAGTCTCGAAAATGTTGTCAACATTTGTCAAGGAGTTTATAAGTAAATAAGCTATAAACATAAATTATTTTAATATATTCAGATTGTAATATTATATACAAGTATCTGTTATTTTGTAACTGTAATATCAACTTTATATACATAATATTATAAACAATTAATATTTAATTTTCGTGATAAACAACAAAAACCCCTCGTATACCACCTTTGTAGTAGCCTATATGGGTTAAAAACGAGGCTTTAAAGTTTAAATACTCCTGGAGAAGGAATATGTGAGTGAAATTTGGGGATAATTTGTTCAGTAGTTTCAATGTACCCACGTATCATGCTTAGTGGTATTTTGAATAGCAAACCTTGAAGAATATACTATTAACTTACGTTTGGTGTGAGAATTCCGGCGACGTATGGAGTGGCCATTCCTGATAAACAACCAATACCGTTGACTAGTGCCATGATGGTAGGAGCATAATTGGGGGACAAGTCGAGTGAATTGATACGAATGCTGGGATAACAGAATCCCATTAATGCCATACCCAAAGTAAAACACAGAGTGGCGATCATTTTGTCACATCCAACAAACGAAGCACACATCACACCCATACCAGGTCCAACAGTTCCTGAAATCATTTCATTTTTTGTCAGTCACCGGTATTGTTAAGAGTTATGGTTACGCGTTAAATCTCACCTATAATAGCGTAAATTTTTCTGACCGCAGTTACACTCATTATTCTTTTGCTTATCAGCCGGTCGGCTAATATGCTAGCTAAGATTGACGTAACCCATTGGGCGATGTATGGGATAGACGACAATAAACCGTTCTATATATGGTAAACATTTAAAATTACTTCTGTGTACATTTTACACTGTAAACGGCACCCAATGAGAATTGTAGATGTTGATCAGACTTACCTCAGTAATCGAAAAGTGTAAAACGTCACTCATATATTTTGGGAGATCGCTGATAATCGTGAAACCACCCCAGTCATGTCCTGCTTCAACAATAATCAGTGCCCATACTGGCCACGACGTTAATATGGATTTCCATGGTGTGGGGGCCAAGTCCTATAACCAATTAAAATATTCAACTATAATAATTTCGTTACATCTGGTAAATTTTGTCACGAAACCATATGATCAATGACGTCCCACGTACTTTTTTCCTTTCTAGGCTTCCGATCGACTGTTTTAAGTAGTCACGCTCCATGTCTGATATAAACGGATGAGAGTTTGGGTCGTTGTAAACGAACATGCACCACAGAACGAACCAAATCAACGAGGTTATTCCGAAGAAGTAAAATACATTCGGCCAACCACCGGGTATGTATTGTATAATGAAACCACTCAAGAAGTTTGAAAAAATATTACCGATTTGCACACCTGTTGGTACATATCATTATTGTTATCATCATAAGTTTGCAATATGTGTTAATGTGTGATTCCTAAATTATTAGACTAGCCTACTAGTCAACAAACACGTTTATATAATATAATAATAGGTATAAGTTAAGAGTAAGTTTTTATAATACATATATAATATATATGTATACTTTACCTGCAAACACCAGTGTGGATAGCTTTCCCTTTTCTTCTGGTGGAGCCCACTGGGCCAGGAGAGTGCAGAGAGCCGGGAAGGTAGTTCCCTGGATAATAAAAAAATTTTAAGTCAATCCCAAGTTGTGTTAAAATCGTATATAATGGTAATCGCCATCTTTACTTCTCCAAGTCCTTCGACGAACCGCAGAATTGTCAGTGGCCTGGAACCCATGTAGGCTACGTACGGAGTCATCAGCGTGAAGATTGCGGTGGACAGTATTCCTAATCCCATCGTGTGCTTTCCACCGAACTTCTGGGATAAGACGCCGCCGGGTAAGTGCGTGAGTATGTATCCGTAGTAGAACGACGACAGGATCTCACCTTGCGTCTTCTCGTCCCAATCGAATCGGTTCTTGAACCTGTCCTCGTCTACTGCTGTTCGGTTGGACTTTGAGTGACCACTCGACAACGGCTGTGGCATCGGACAGTAGTCGTGCCGAACGGATTTCGCACCTCCATCCACCACCACCACCACGGGCCTGACCATTTGCGTGAGCGTTATGCCCAAGCAGGCCCGCATCACGTATGCCATTGTGACACCCATCATCCCCATCACAGCCATCACCCATCTCTGAGAAATGTGTCCTGCAGCAAAAAAAAAAAAAAATTGGAACTATCTGAATCTTGACTTTGAAACTTCGTCAAAGTCCTAGATGAATCGACAGTTGGTTTCGAACTCATAATACGATTGTTGTATGTTAGACGTTTGAATGGAAAGTTCTTATATTAATATTATGTATGGGTGTGTTTTTTTTTGCTTGAGATCAATAAAATAGTCCATTAACCTCGGAATAAAAGAAACCATAATTTATAATATTTTCAAACAACAGTTTGACGCATATTATATAAGTAGATACTTTGTACTTGAGAACAATATTCTATGTTATAGTAAGTTCTGTTTACTTATAAATTTCAATAGTTAATTAAGATTACTTAGTATTTTAAACACGATAATATAACTACGTTGACACCATCTAAAATTTTAACAAATATGTTGGATCAAACCAAATAATTATTATATTAACGGGATAAATAGTGTAAGGTTATTTTTGAAAAATATGAATTATTTTATGAAAAGTTAATTAATTATTGTAGTACAATGTTCAGATTTAATACGAGAGAAGTAACAAAATAATTAGGTCTCTAATATATAAATGTATAACTATTTTTATAGATAGGTATTATGTTAATCATGTGTATATAATGTAGTACCTACAACTTCTTTGATTCTGTAATGAGATTAAAAACAATTAAAGTAAAATCGTTTTAATGAAATTCATTCTATGTTATAATATTATAATTAAAAATCATTTATTGTTTTTGATGATCATTGATTTATTCGGTGTTTGCGGTTTCGTGTATATACCACTACTTTAAATTCAATCGTTAACTGATAAATATGACATTTATTTTATAGATTAGAATATAGAATAATTAATAATGTAAAATGCTGTCATAAGCAGGTAATTACTTTTTTTTTTTGGTTAATTGTACATTTTTCATTCATTATTGAAAGCATTTTTATTAAAATATTATAATATAATATAGGTAATACTTTTTTCTCAATATTTCTTTAATTTTGAAATCTAACATTCATTTTTATTCCCACTACTAATATTAATTTATTATGTTACTAAATGTTGTACAGTACCTATACATAAAATAATTGTAAAATGTATTAATTGTATTAATTAATTTAATTGTTTTTATTAATTGACATTCCTTTATGTTAATATAATTTAAAACACAACATTTTATCATGCGATAGAAAGCTTAACGTTTACTTACGTGAGTTAAATTTCATAGTGGAAGGTAAATGTCACCTCGGAGAATTAATTACTTTGAATAGAATTTTCTGCAAACCACTGCCGAGCCTAGTACGAAAAACGTTTACAAATCGGAAAAACGTCCACGTGGGTTCTACTGACTAATATTTCGTGTAGGTTACCAGCTGAGTAAATACAACACGTTTAAAACGATAAAAAAAACATTGAAAATTATACAATAATAAATTTATATATAATATATTCAATAATATTATGTTCCCGCGGAATATTACGAATCCATCGACAGCTGTTGTAGCCGGTGAACAAAACGCGAAGTCTTCATACGCTAACTTCCGTCTGAACACTGTTAGCTCGTCGGATTGAATCACAACATGATAACATGAAATTATTATGTGATCCAAGCCGAGTGAGTGGGTGATTAAGATGTTCGCTCCTTTTATTGTACTCCGATCGCCTTATCTGAACATATTTTATCATTGGCTTTATGTTTGCGTAGAATGGGAGCACATGTTCTTGTTTGTGTACAAATAGTTTAAGTGTATAATAATATTATAATAATTTCTATGGTTTTGTTAATTATTATGTGAATCGGTTGTTCGAAATGTTGTACATCATGCAATGTTCGAACTACAATTTTAATATTATTAACAAACAATAATAGTTATACAATATTATGTGAACCCGTTACAGACAATTTAACTCCACGGAGTAGTTACCAAGCACTGATGAGTGGAGCATACAGTATAGCAACAGAAAACCTCGAGTACGAGCCTCGTTTAAGTCTAAGGGGTTCAATGTTTGTGGCTCACAATATGTGTTTGTGTGTGCTCGTAAAGTTGTGACGTTTATCGATGGATTGTCAAGTATATTATGTAAATCTATTGTGTTTAATAACTGAATATTACGACTTTTGGATTTTTCTCAAGGTCTTCGATTATCATTTATCGCCAAGTCGTTGGCCTGTGGGCTGTGACTACAGTTATTAGTACTATACAATTTGAAATTCGCGTACCACTATTTATAAGCAGGTCGTGTTATCTAATTACTAGGAGATTTGCAAGGTACGATCGAATTATCGAAATATTACAACCACTGATTGTGAATCGTTAATTACTTAATTTAGTATGAAAATCACACTATAGTAGTTGGCTTGTGTGTGAACTCATCGATAAGTCAAATCAGTTTAGAGAGAGAACGCGTACCCGTAATTTGGCGTTGCCTTCGTCGAATACATTTCAAACGTACAGTAGATATAGTTTCTTTGATTACATTATCATGGAAAGTTGACCTATTACTATCAAAAAATATTATCTATTATGTTTTAAATTTAACATTTATGCATGTAGCAGTATATTATAGAATATTTTATTAAAGCAAATATTATCTGCAAATTATTATAGGTTCCTGTTCCTCAAGTTGCAATACAAATTTTGAAATAGCAAACTAGATATAATTTTTATTTAATTCAAAAATAAGTTACTTTTAGATTCTGAGGGAAACGATGAATGTCTTGATTTTACAATGATGTGTGTTTTTTTTTAAATTTTTTAGTTTTTTTTTGTGTCTGTCATCACCTTTTAGGACAGTAAAAATGCTTAGATTTTCTTCAACAGTATCTTTTCTGATAGGAAAATGAATCTAGTCGGTACTTTTTGAGGTCAAAAGTAAAAATTTTAAAGTAGTTTTCAATAGCGAGGTGAAAAACAAAAGAAAAATTAAGGAAAAACGAGAATTTGTACTCAAAATCTGTTTTCGAAAAAATAGATTTTATTTTTGACATTTGGACTGAATGTTTATATTAGAATTTTCTATACACCATAACATTTTCCAAATAGTAGGACTTATTTTGAGCTGTTTACGGACATTTTCAGTTTCAATTTTTTTTAGTTTTCTTTTCTATAAATATTAAAAAAATTTTATTTGTTGGTTCAAAAAGCTTGAAAATGTAATAGAAGGCTCCTAGGTACATTTTTTCAAAGGCAGATAAAAAAAATTGAAAATCCATAGTCACAATTTTTTTTTATAAGCATTTAAAGTTCAAATATTGACAAAATAAGTAAAAATGACGAATATTTGCAAATTATTTCAAGTTAGAAAATCATAATTGTATTTTTAAATCTAAGATTTGAAAATGTAATACAAGATTCCTAATAAGTTGGCCTAACTTTATATAAAAAAAAAAAAATGTCTACAAGAAATTCAAATTAAATTTTTATGAGCGTTTGAAATTAATATTTTTACAACATTTGATATTCACTCGATTATCTTATTTTGTTGTAATTAAAAACGAATGATTATAGATACTTGAAAATTTCACTGAATGTTTATAAGAGCATTTCCTATATACCATAAAATGTTGAAAATATTTTGACTCTTTTTGAGCTGTTTACGGACATTTTCAGTTTTCAATTTTTATAGTTTTTTTTTCTATAAATATTAATTAAATTTTATTTGTATGGTAAAAAAGCTTGAAAATTTAATGCAAAGCTCCTGATATATTGTTACACTTGAAAAATATTAAAAATACATAGGCACAATTTTTTTTTATAAGCATTTAAAGTTCGAATTTGGACAACATTTATCACATTTAAAATTTAATAATAATTTTGTAGTTAAAAATGTATAAAATGTTCAACTTTTATAGCTAAGGATTGAAAATTTAAAGCAAGGTTCCACGTAAATAGGTTATATATAAATTACTTTATTCACCTTAATATCATCTGCAAATATACTACGCAATATCATAGGCTGACTGGCCGTTTTCGCTCAGAATCGTTTTTCTTATACAATGATATTATATCATTGAATTCAAATTTAACACCATTCATTACAGTGACCCACTTGTAATCTACTGTACAGCAGAGCGACTTTTTTTTTATAATAACAATAAATTTGTTTATTGTGTTATGCAAAAGACTATCCATGTCACAAGTACCTACGTCTTAAACGTAAAACAGCTACTAAAAAATTCGGAGCTCATGACTTGTAGCATTTTCAAATTTGTTCCGTGTTTGTGTACAATATAGACATGCTTATGTGAATTATAAATTTGTTTCAAATTAAGAATAAATAAATACGGTCACTCCTATAAATACACTATAATAGTGACTATATACTATTTTATAGTGTAGGTATTGTGTATTATACAAATATTACAATTATTATTCACAAGTATTTAAAAACAATATAGCGTTATAAATTATAATATTACGTAATATTACTTCCGTTACCCAAGTGATATTTTAAGAACAGTTAGTAGCCGATAATATTGGCTTTTATTTGTGTTGATAGTTGTTTATACTGCTGCTATACCACCATCTCAGCAAGCAAGTCGATTATCAACATAGTAGTTTTTAAAATTGATTATTATTATTATTATTATTAAATATTAGCTGCATGTTAAAGTTAAAATTAGGATTCTAAATGAATTGTTATATTTTCAAGACTCACTTCAATCGTCATACTTATAGGTAGGTAGATACTCGGGATACTCCTATTTCAATATTTTAGTCATTTTATATTAGTCCGTGAATGGAAGAACTTCTACAACAGTTCTACAGTGACTGGTGAGTTAATAATTATTATTAATTATAATTATACAAAATTAAATTAATTTACTTCATTGTAATTCATAATATATATTGATATAAGTATTAAGCTTACAATTGTAACCTAGGAATTTATACAACATAGTTATTTATAAGAATGTAAATACTAAATATCTAGTATACAAGAAGTCGCTATAAACATTCGTTGGATTTTATCGATCAAATTTGAATTTTAATAATGTATAAACATTAAAATAGTTTGTTCAACGTTCACGTATTAAAAAAAAAAATATACATTTCTTCAATTAATTTAAAATATACTTAATATTTGGAGTTAAGAAAAATAAATAATAATTAATATTAGTCTAATTGTCTCAACAATTATCTTCACAGTTCACTTCACACCAAGTTTCTATTTTATTTTATTTATTTTAATCCCTCACTCCTACGGACTATTTTTGATAATCTAAGGTTAGATATATTTTATCACTAGAGTTATTTGGACAATTAGCTTGATAGTGATATCGATAAAAATTGTTTTAATTCGGTTTATTGATTAAATGTGAAAATTGCACAGTAGTTTTCAAAAGCGGCGTGAAAAACAAAATAAAAATTAAGAAAAAACGGGAATTTTTACACTAAAATCTGTTTTCGAAAAAATCTATTTTGGTTTTTGGTGCAACTTTTAAACAAATGACCATAGGTACATGGAATTTTGACTGAATGTTTATATTAGCATTTTCCATACACGATAACATTTTCAAAATGTTTTGATTTATTTTGAACTGTTTAGGGACATTTTCATTTTCCATTTTTTAGATTCTGAGTGAAACGATGAATGTATTGATTTTACAATGATGTGTGTTTTTTTTGTGTCTGTGTACACGATAAGTAGTCGAAATAATGCTTCGATTTTCAACTTCAGTATCTTGTTCGATTGGAAAGTGAATATCGTTGGTGCATTGGGGAGGTCAAAATTTAAATATCCCAGTAGTTTTCAAAAGCGCCGGGAAAAACAAAAGAAAAATTAAGGAAAAACGGGAATTTTTACGCAAAATCTGTTTTCGAGAAAACCGATTTTGGTTTTTGGTGTAACTTTAAAACAAATGACCGTAGATACATGAAATTTTCAGTGGTTGTTTATATTTGCATTTTCTATACACGATACCATTTTCAAAATATTTTGATTTATTTTGAACTGTTTAGGGACATTTTCAGTTTCCAATTTTATTAGTTTTTTTTTTATGAATATCAATAAAAATGTATTTGTTGGTTGAAAAAGCTTGAAAATTTAATAGAAGGCTCCTAGTATATTGTTTCAAAGGCAAATGAAAAACATTAAAAATCCTTAGTCACAGTTTTTTTTTATAAGCATTTAAAGTTCAAAATTTGACAATATATGGAAAAATCACGAAAAATAGCAAATTATTTTGAGTTAAGAATTTTTCTTTTCAAATCTACGATTTGAAAATTTAATACAAGATTACTCATAAGTTTGTCTACCTTTCTCAATAAAAAAATCTCTACCGGACAGTCAAATTAAATTTTTATGAGCGTTTGAAATTCAAATTTTTACAACATTGGATATTCACTCGATTTCTCATGTAGCGATTTCCTTATTTTGTTGTAATTCATAAACGAATAACTATAGATACATGAAAATTTCACTGAATGTTTATATTAGCATTTCCTATACACCATACAATTTTGAAAATATTTCGGCTCTTTTTGAGCTGTTTACGGATATTTTAATTTTTCAATTTTTTTAGTTTTTTTTTCCTATGAATATCAATAAAGTTTTATCTGTTGGGCCAAAATGTGTAAAAATTGAATGCAAGGCTCCTGATATATTGTTACAATATAAGTTGAAAAATATTAAAAATACATAGACACAATTTTTTTTTATAAGCATTTAAAGATAAAATTTTGACAGAATTTTTCAAAATATCGAAAATTATCAATCATCGTAATTAATAAATTATAAAATGTTCAGTTTTTATAGCTAAGGATTGAAAATTTAAAACAAGATTCCACGTAAGTAGTTAATTCTGTTACCAAAAAATCTAAAAAATACATAAGCACAGTTTATTTTTATGGTCATTTTAAGTTCAAATTTGGGACGAAATTACATATTAAAAAACCTAGCATACCTATTTTAGTTATTTTGTTGTGAGTGTATAATACTATTCGTGGGTACTTGAAACTTCTAAGGTACCTACACTATATTATATATCTATGATAGTATCAGGGTTTGTTATTGATGTATAACGTGTTATAAATACCTAATGGATATTGTGATATGATTAATTTGGAATTTTTATTATAGGCCATTTTTTTTTTTAATACCATAGATATGTATATAATATGTCTTAAACCTAGACTGACGCTCAGAACCGTTTTTCTTATACAATGATATTGTATCATTGAATTCAAATTTAATGGCATCCATTATACAGTGACCCACTTGTAACCTACTGTACAGCAGAGCGACATCCACTTACCCACCTTTTTTTAGTTTTGTTTTCTAAAAATATCAATACAATTTTATTTGTTGTTAAAAAAGCTTGAAAATTTAATACAAGGCTCCTACTATATTGTTTCAAAGGCAGATGAAAAATATTAAAAATCCTTAGTCACAGTTTTTTTTATAAGCATTTAAGTCCAAAAATTGACAAAATATGGAAAAATCACGAAAATTAGCAAATTATTTTGAGTTAAGAATTCGTAAAAGTTGTTATTTTTAAATCTAAGCTTTTAAAATGTGATACAAGATTCCTTATAAGATTAACTACCTTTATCAAGAAATAAATGTCTATAAGAAAGTCAATTCAAATTTTTACAACGTTGGATATTCACTCGATTTCTCATGTAGCGATTTCCTTATTTTGTTGTAATTCAAAAACGAATAACTGTAGATACATGAAAATTTCACTGAATGTTCATATTAGCAATATTTTGATGTTTTTTGAGCCGTTTACGGACATTTTCAATTTAAATTTTTTTTAGTTTTTTAGTCTATAAATATCAATAAAGATTATCTGTTGGGCCAAAAAGTGTAAAATTTAATACAAGGCTCCTGATATATTGTTACAATATCAGTTGAAAAATATTAAAAATACATAGGCACAATTTTTTTTTTATAAGCATTTAATGATCGATGACAACATTTATCAAATTTAAAATTGAATAATTATTTTGTACTCGTAGTTAAAAATGTATAAAATGTTCAACTTTTATATCTAAGGATTGAACATTTAAAATAAGATTTCACGTAAGTAGTTAATTCTGTTACTAAAAAATCTAAAAAATACATAAACACAGTTTATTTTTATAGTCATTTTAAGTTCAACTTTGGACAAAATTACATAAAAAATAACCTAGAATAACTATTTTAATTATTTTGTTGTGATTGTGTAATATTATTCGTGGGTACTTGAAACTTCTAGAGTAGGTACACTATTATATATCTATAATAGTATCAGGGTTTGTTGTTTATGTATAACGCGTTATAAGTACCTAATGTATATTGTGATATGATTAATTTGGAGTTTATTATAGGTACCTATTATAGGTCAATTTTTTTTTTAATACCATAGATATGTATATAATATGTCTAAATGCGTCTTATACCTAGACCAACATACCGTCTCCGCTCAGAATCGTTTTCTTATACAATGATATTATATCATTGAATTCAAATTTAATACTATCCATTATACAGTGACCCACTTGTAACCTTCTGTACAGCAGAGCACCTTTTTTTTTTTTTTTTTTTTATTATGTCTGGACGATGGGTATCCTTTTGTTATTTGTTTTACATAAGAGCGACATAGGAAATATTCGTTAACTTGTTACAATAGTGTGCTGTGAGTTTTTATATTAGAGTGTATTGACCAATTATTAAACTTAAATTAGTAAAGAAAATTGTAATATATAATATTTAGACTTACAATAAAACCCGAGACAAATAATGAAAACGAACCATATTATGGAGTGGGGGCGATCCAATATACATACATACATACATACATATAAAACATTATACGCACTCCTTTTATATACACGCAGCATATGCAACACATAAATAATATTTAACAACTCTCCGATCAGACGTTTTAGTGGAGACAACACAATCAAATATCAGCGGCGCCAGTAAACACCGTATATTATAGAATCATGAAACAATGATGAAATTCAACTGTTCAAACTACCTGTACAAGCCATACCAGTGGTCAAGAAATCTGGTCACAAAGATGTATTCAAACAAAAGTATGTTTTTGTTTAAGTGCTAAGATAATAAGCATTTCAAAATTTGTATTCGTGTTACTTTTATAATATATAAAGGTTAATTCAACAACACGAGGTTGGAATTAGAAAACGATTAATTCAAAGATGGACACCACACAAGCCGACATGTGAGTCTGTGAAAATAAATAGGAAATATGTCAGTGTATCTATCAAAGATATACTTCCAACAATAATGTTGTTAGGTTATGGGATGTTAATTTCTTTGATGGTACTTATGTTGGAACTAGCTTATCATTTCCGTATGAACTACATGAAAAATAAATTTAAAAAAGCAGACAAAGCCACAAAAATTAAATTCAAAGGGAAATTATTATATCCTCAAGGAGATCAGAAATATGATAAATAATCGAGTATTAATATTACTAAAATAATAACAATAATCATAATCATGGTAGCAATATTTAGATTTTTCTGTAAGCTTATAAGTGAATATAAATTGTAAAAACATAATTTTTAGTTTTTATTTATTTTATACAATATCAATATTTTGTTAATATATAAGTATCTCATAACCAGTGTTGAAACTTATCTAGATTAAAATGTAATTGTATTTTATCTTATCTATATTAAAATCTACTGGTCATCTTTTTATTTATCTTAGAAGAACATTTCAGTTGTCTATACCTATGAATTTATCTAGATAATTTTTTATGTGTAGACATTTATTTAATACTATCAAAAGTACAATATTTAGCTATGTACAGCAAATATAGTATTTGAAACTTTGAAAGCGAAGAAAAACACACAATTTTCCGATGTAGAATATTATGTTATGTTGCATAATACCTATAAAAGTATACGTAAACAAATAGTGGCAGCTCATCGGATACTTGATACTTTTAATGTAGCTCACTTGGTGGAAAAGGTTTGCGACCCCTGCCTTAAAGTATTATATTACCAGTGGCGAGCGGAAAGGCTCAATTTTGACGTAGTTGGGTCAACTTTTCAAAGGGGCTGATGCCACCCCGTGCAGTCTGTGGCGCAGAATTACATGCTAAGACCTGACCTCTTGGATATTTGGACCACATTTTATTTAAAATATCATAACTTTGTTACGAGTTATATGGGTGGTATAGTGTTGGTGGTCAGGTGGTGATAGCTGATAAGTACTTAATTATGAAAATGCGTCATTTGAAAGTTAAGTTGAATCCGCCACTGGGCATTACTGATGTATCGATGCGACTGTAGGTACAAGAAGTTTTGCTAACCTAATATTTTGTCTTCCAATGCCGATTTCACATTTATAATAATCCCTAATTAAAATAAGTCTCACTACCAGGAAGTATGCAGATTTAGTATGTAACATTATATTGTATAACTTTGTAAAGTATCTAATCAATATGCAATTTCAACTATAACTGTATACGAATTAAAACAAAATATACTAAATACAAATGTCAACAATATTTTTGGTAGACTTCCAAGATAGATTTAGACAATAATCCTTTCGTACCATTTAAAGGAATGTTTGATTACATTAACACAATGCCCGTTTATTGAATACATTTATATCATACCTACTCATATAGTCATATCTAAATGGCAGCCATCACAGAAAGTAAAAAATTCAAAGTTCGGTTAATCTTTATATAATATTTTGGCCGGTTTTTTTAAAAATATCGCACTGGGCACAGCAGCTTGCATTAACTTTCAAAACAGCAAATTTAGATTTGTATATATTCTAATTTTCTTCAGCCATACCTATAAGTATCTAATATTATTTCCCAAATTTACAAATCATAGATATTATTTAAACAATAAAAAAAGTTTAGTTTTGCATTCTCGAATAGTATAACTCAAAACGACAATTTAATAAATAATTATCGTTCCCGTATAATATGTTAAAAAATCTAGAAACTTTCATATTTACAAGAACAACACAATTTTGTTGCCATGTACATATGAGTGTTTGAAAAATCTTCATATTCTATCTGTGTCACCTATAGTAACAATTTATAATAACCGTTTGTATAACATTCTATTAGTGCATACGAAAAAAAAATACGTTGTTCTCTGACAGTTAATTATGTATTTACCTCCAAGATCATATTATTATACACCATGAACAGACAATATGATGACATGATTTTGAGGGAATACTTTAAAGTCTCGGTAATGGACGTTGTGAACGATCTTATGTCAAAAAGTGAGCTTATCTACTCTACGGACTATGAACCAGACTATAAGCCCGAAGAGTTTGATGGAGGTGATTTGGGAATATATGTTGTGGAGATGGTGAGCTCGGCCGTCATTGGCGAACACGAGGACGTACTGGAACCGTTCTGCAGACGGGATTCCAAAGGTTTCCAAGTGTCCACGAGGGAAATCGATGTGCTTCGAAGTTCTGCGGGCGACGGCCCGGACATACGTTTGCCGTCTGGCCCGATCGTTTTGGAATCGGACGAAGAAGTACGTCAGGCAGTTATTTTGCTATTGCTGTTCCTTTTCATAGACCAAGTAGCTTATAATATTATAACTTAAAAGCTTCTCCTCCTAATAACTTGTGCAATGTCTAACAATGTAATAATTTGCTAATAATGTAATAACTTGTGTAATTTATAAACAATGTATAATATTTTTTGAAAAATCATTACCTATCTATAATATTATTATTCATTTTAATTTGTAATGCTTATCTAATAATGTAATAATTTGCTAATAATGTAATACCTTGTGTGATTTATAAATAGTGTGTAATATTTTTTGAAAAACCATCATCTATAATATTATTAGTTATTTAAATTTTTAGTTCTTATCTATACTAATAAAATATTGTTTAGTGCATATTTGTGCGTCAGATAAGATACGCAGTTTGACATGATCCGTCGTTCGCGGCCACCATCGTCGCTGCAGAACATAACTTTAGTGTGGACGAGCCAATATTTGAATGATATATTTTCTTTCCTAAATTATTGTACATTTTCATACAAAATTGTTTTCATATTATATAATGTCAAAAAAACAAATTCGGTTATTTCACGAGTCTTATTTTTAATAACACAATATTAGGTATGTGCATATTAAACTTGTACATTTTATACATATAAATATATAATTCACATTGTATTTACAATGTAATTTCATAAGTTTTATGTCTTGTATCTTTTTTTTTTTTTTTAAACTGGACAATTATACAATCTGTAATATAATGGTTTACAATAAGCATAAGTGATAAAAGAATAAGCATAGAAAAGACAAAATAATAGGGTAATGTAACAAACAGGTTGATAATTACAATTATTTACATCAAAATAATTGTAAATGAATTACTATTAATAATTACAATTATTTTTGATGATGAGTATTTTTGTTACACATTTATGAATTGAACACAGCTCTTAGAGTTCCTACATTCGTAGCAAGAGTACATATAGTCAATTCGCCAACCGAATGTAATTTAAGTTGATGAGCACTTATTACTATACTTATATTCTAAATACAGCTCTTAAAAATCCTTACATCCGTAGCAAGAGTACAAATAGTCAATTCGTCAACCGGATGTAATTTAAGTTAAAGAGCACTTATTATTATATTCGTGTTCCAAAATATAAATGTGTAGTAGTGATGTAACAGGCCTATAATATGATGATAGTCACAGAACCTTATGTTTTTAAGAGATAGGATAGGTAAGTGGAAAAGATGAACAATGTGCATTTGTTTAATAGAGAGACAACCAATTTAGACAGACATACCGAATGCTGAAATAATCCAATATACATATATTGTATACGCATGTTCACACAGTAATGAGCACTCATTTGAACAGTAATGGAAGAGTGTCATGATGTTGACTGGCGTGGACCATGTGTATCTCCGGAATGGACACTGGCGACGAGTCGATTCTCTGTGGTCCTTATATAATATGATTTTGGTTGATCAATTCTTCTTGTGCATCGATTAATACGTGATAATAAAGTATTGATATATTTTATTATTTTGGGCGGTGCGACATAGGTACCGCTAGTAATTTATGGTTTTATTTTGACCAAACGTCTTGATCGGAGAATTATCGAAGGGGTCTTGAAATATATAATATATATCAGCGTTTCCCAACCTTTTTGCAATGGCGACCCATAAATTTAATCTTTATGGGGTACGCGACCCCTAGCTAAAAAAAAAAAAAAAAAAAGTTAACTGTAAATAAATAAGATTTTTATTAAAATACAACATACTGAACAATAATAACTTAATAAATAAATAAAATAAATTATAAAAAAATACAATAAAATTAGTATAATAGAATATTTATTGCTGAATTTAGTGTGAACTTTGATTCTGGATGCTGTTGCATAAAATTTCCCATTGGGGTACAATTTCAGATAAACTGATGCGCATGTCATGTGTGACATCTAATCTGTTTCTTTGTTTTGTTTTAATATTGGCCATGGTAGAAAATCCTTTTTCGCACAAATAAGTGGTAGGAAAAAGTAATAGTTTTTTTATTGCATTAATTGAAAGTTCTGGATATTCATTATATACTGCACACCAAAAATCTACAAGAGTTTCATTTTTACCACTGCAGGTCGTAGTTTTACGAATCATAAATTTATCCATTACGTAAAAATGTGTTAAAATAGTTAAAAATGCGTGTTGAATCGTAAACTTAAACTTTTCGTAGTCTCGATGTACCGCTCGTTGCTCAACTGCATATTATGGTTTATGGACAAACGACCCAGACCGATCGCATCGACTAGTCATTAGCATATATTTTACCGATAAAATAAGAAATATTCCATAATCGTAATAACTTTACGTAATTTACTCTACAATATTAGTTAGACTTCACATTATTATTATACAATATAGAATATAGATTATAGAATTATAGAATTATAACATAAGCATTTATCAATTTACGGCTAAAATAACTGTAACCGTAACCTCGAGTCACGACTCATCAAAAAAATTTCGCGACCCATGGTTTGGGAAACGCTGATATATATATATGTATACGAAAGAATGCTTTCATGAGTTTATAATATACGGTATTTACTGGCGCCGCTGATATTTGATTGTGTTATCTCCACTAAACGTCTGATCGGAAAGTTGTTGAATATTATTTATGTGTTGCGTATACTGCGTGTATGTAAAATGAGTTCGTATAATGTATATATGTACCTAATGCATACGTATGTATATATGTATGTATGTATATTGGATCACCCACACTCCATAATATGGTCAGTTTTCGTTATTTAGTGTTTTATTCTAAGTCTAAATATTATATATTACAAAATTGTCTGTGCTTAAGGGTCGGCTTTTATTCCATATTTTAATTTTCAAGCGGGATAACAACTGCAACGTGTGAAAGAAGTTTTAGTAGACTTAAAATTATTAAGAACTATCTAAGGTCTACAATGTCACAGGACAGATTGACAAATATTTATTGAACATGAATTGGCTTCAAAAATAAACTTTAAAGATATTATATAGTAATTTCGAATAAAATTAATTGAAACTTCTAGACGTTTTATCATATTTATTCGTAGGTACTATTGTATGTATTCGGAGGAGGAGACTATTATTGATGTTTATTGAGTTGTAGAAAGTAGGAACTATATTAGTTTTTGTTTATAGAGCTTTTTTCATATCTTCGGAAATATAATTGGGAAGAGTTGTGCCTCTGAAGCCACCTATACCATCTATACCACCACGTGACACTACCATCGTCTGTGTAGGTACTCGACGCGTTTAAAATAAGTTAATTCTGAAATGGTAACTCAACGGAAATAAATTATCAACAGCTTCGTGCTATATGTTATAAGTGGTCGTGGTTGCTTAATGTAAGTTATTGAAATAAGACTACATAATGCGTTTCATTACTAGGATTAACTTACAAGTAGTATAAAACACGTGTTTTTTAAATGCATAGTAATATCTAAATAAACATGTATAACTACCGTAATTTCATTTTCATAACAATCAGTTCCTATTTTTATTTTATTCGCCAACTTTAGTTAGTAAATTGCATTATATAGCCGAGATATTAAATCTTATTAGTCAAGCCCTTCTCCTAGCATAATATTGCATAAAATCATAATTTGTATAACAAACTAGCTAATTACATAGGTATATGTGGTATATTACTACCCACTACCTAGGTTTATATATACCTATATAATTATTTTATATGTAATATATATATATATAGCAAGGTATCTACCATTGAATGTCTAAATAATACAATGTGTATAAAAGCTAGTAAGCACACAAGTACCTAACTATTATTTGTTATGATATATTAATTATTTATAATTGAAATGTAACATTTTATTTGCGAACTGGTGAAAAATAAATTCCATTGTTTATTTAAAAGTGTAATTATACATCAACAAAAGTTATTACAACAACCAATCGTAAGTAATGATTTAGATGCCAGATGGTCCATAGGTTATAATAATTTATGATTTTTGTATTCTTTCTAAAAACTACATAATATAAATGAATAACTGTATAAGTATTGTAATTTGATTTGTCATTTATCATAGCTAACATTCGTTAGTTCAACATTCAATTATTATATTGTAAATCTTCAACAATAATAATTACAGTATAACATATTGACATAATGTATTAAAGATTAAGGATGTTTTTAGTTTTGTTAATAATAAAATATATGACTGTTTTTTTTATTTCCAATAATTTCATTGAGTATAATAAATACCGTTGACTTGGGAAATGTAAATTTGTATAGGTAGGTATGACAGACATATCTATAGATTAGTTTGTTACTTTGTTGTTATAAAAATATTATATCAATATTTCACATATTATTCTAGCATTGTATACTTACTGTAGTTTCTAAAGTCTGAAATTTGTTTGTACATACCTATTATAATCTAGTTTTAACTAGAAAAGAACTCAGTTACCGTGTGTCGTAAATTATTGCTTAGTCGTCGACACATTGAGGAAAATTATGAAGAATGAAAAAGAATATCCATTAAAAATATAATTTTTATTCAGTTGAGGAAACTGTATGAAATATTTTAAAGCATTACATACTACATATTACAATATAATTATAGAGTATATCTGAAAGATTTTTTTCTTAGAACCTACGTATACAATTTAAAAAAATACATTAATTAGAAAAATACCACAACTGCACTGTAGGTATCCGAGTACTATATCTATAGTATCATATATCTCGTTATTAAATAAGTTGTTGCAGTAATGTAAATCTTAAATTTGAATAAAATGACAATGATAAATTAATTTATACGTGAAAAAACGACTTTTGGCGAAGATGGTTCAATTTGTTGGTAACCTTGGTTAGTGCTTATAAAGCACTGAGTTCAATTTCACCTTCCTAAATGATCCAACTAGATTAAGTTTCTTACCTGAAACATTTGAAGAAAAATGTCTTCAATTTAAAAAAATTTAAAAATTTAATAACATGTATCATCGTAAGATGGACACTGCCCCGAATCTACAAGACATAATTTCACTATCTACGATGAGAATTTTGTTTATTACGTAAA